GTGGCTGCCTTGGTTTCGCCCGACCTGACAGGAGTGTGTGCAGAAGGCCTGGGGAGCAGAGGGGGCCGGGGGGGGGTCGCCAGGGAGCAGCACCCCGAGTCCTTCTCGGCTGAGGGATGGCTCGGATTGGGATCGGGTTCAGGTGGAGGGAAGGCCGGAGGAGGGCCGAAGGTGGGTGGCCTCAGGGAGCCCCCAGGGAGGACAGGAGACTCCAGGCGGGAGGACTGGCAAAGGCAAGCTGGCCCTTCCTTCCCCTCAGCCACCCGTCCTCCTCCTCCTCCTCCTCGGGGGGGGGGCATCCTGGCTGGGACATCTGCTAAGGGGAGGGGGGGTACCCCCTTAGTGGAAGATGGGCCACGGCTTTGCCTCTGCAAGACCACCGTGATCTGGGGCCTCTCCCATAGCCAACCGAGACCAAGCAAGACATACCGGCAGCTCCTCTTTGGAAGGCGAAGCTGGGTCTTCTGCGGAAGATGGGATGGCCGCCCCGTCCTCCAGGGCTTCCTCCTCAGAGGTACCTGACGATGGGAACTCAACCTGCGACACTATATTGTAAGCCGCCTAGACTGGACGAGTTGTCCAGATAGGCGGGGTATAAATTCCCCATTCCTTCCTCCTGAACCTGGCGGTCACCCGAGGAAAGCAGGGGGAGTCGGCCCGCCCTTCCTGCTCTGCCCACAGACGGCTTCAGTGTCCCTGTTGGTGGGTGGCACCCCTTCGGCTGCTCTTCCCTACAGACGTCCGTGGACCGGCCAGGGAAGGAGGGGTGTAGCCCCGGCCCCCTCCCTGGACAAAGAGATAAAGTGCAAAGAAAATCCAGGTGACAAAAAAAATGGTAGGTGGAAGGATAAGAGAGTGGAGAAAGGCAGCCGTTCCTCAGGATCCCCAGCGCCCACAGGGTCTGGAAGCAGGAACATCGGTGGCCTCCAAGCAGGCAAAAAGCAGACTCCCCCCTTCTAGGGGACCCGGCCCAGAGTCAGACACCCCCACCACCACCCCCATCCTGGGAAGAGGCCAGAGAGGCATACGGCGGCCTTGCCGGGGAAGCCAAGCAGGCAACGTGCCCTCGCACCCGCCGGGAAGCGTCCCGAGCCCAACGCGCATAGCTGCCTTGGTCGCAGTTGGCACCTTTACACACCGCTGCCGGAGCCCCCGCAACGCTTGCAGGGGGGAGGAGGCCCCGCAACAAGGGCCAGCTCTCCCCACAGTTCATCACCTTTAAGGCCAGCAGGTGGGTCAGAAGGGAGCGGAGGGACCGTCCCGGCCCCCCTCCATCCAGCCTGCCTCCCCTGGGCTACTGCAGGTAGCGGTAGGCCTTGAAACAGTGGTTGCCGGAATCCGCCACCACCACGTGTCCGTCAGAGGTGAGCGCCAGGCCCTGCGGCCCGTACAGGGGGTCGGCTGTGGTGTTGATGTAGGACAGGAAGGAACCGGAACTGTCGAAGACCTGGAAAAAGAGGGTTGGGGTGATGAAGGCCGAGGCAGGCGAGGGTAGACACCAGATGCCGGTGGGAGTGGCAAGGAGCCCAGCCATTTGAGGAGCAACAGTGGACCCTCTGGTGCCGGCGTAATATCGGTGGAGGTAACCAGCAGCGGCGTTTTGTGTAGGCAGCTTGTGAGCTGTCTCCTGATTCCCCCAAAGCAGGAACGCTCGGTGAGGCCAAGCTCCTGGTTGTTGAACCAGTGGGTTGGGCACTGGATTCTCTGTGATGCGCTGCCTGGGAGAGGAGTCAGCTTGTGTAGCTTTGGACAAGCTGCATACAGTCCCAGGGCGCCCTCAGAGGAATGAATCGGTAAACCACTTCTGAGTGCTCTGTACCTAGAAAACCCTGCAAGGGATCCCCCCCTAGTTAACACAGCTGTTAAGAAGCTCTTTTGCAATTGGTAGATCTCTGGGTTCTAGTAAAAAAAACCAAAAGCAGCCTGAAGTCTGTCCATCCCTCTTCAAGAGAGGGACAGCACAGCATCAATGCTTAAGTTGCACACCACACGCCCAGGACTGCAGCCTCCTTGGTCCGTGGGGTGAAGGGGTTGGTGGTGCCCCCTGCCCAAAGCGACCATGCAGCCCCATGGAACAGAGAGCAGTGGCTGCCCCTTTGCAAGAAAGAAGATTGCAGAACTGGGAAAGGGGCCAAAGCGAGAGCCACCAGCTAGACCGACACGTTGGGCTGGCTTTCCTACCAGGAAGGCTCGGCAGTTTATCTACTGCAAAATATTAAAAATAAAGCAACAGAGGGAAGCTGCTCGGACTCAGAAATAATTACAAATAATTGAATGAGGCCCAAAGAGGGACGGTCTTTCCTACGAGAGCAAACCCCGCGGCTGAAGGGTGAGAAAGCCAGCCTCCCTCCTGCCCTGCCCGGGAGTCCCGTCCCAAGGACGGCTGCTGCCCAGGTGCTCTTTGGAAGGGGGCACTGGGGCTGATGGGCCCCAAATGGAGGCGCTCCTCATGCAAGTCAGCTGGGGCCGGAAGGGGTTCCTGGCACGCACAGCAGAAGCTGTGGCCACCATTTGACAATCCCTTCCCCTTGGCCTTGCAAAGCAAGCTGGTGGGAGCCAAATTTGGGCTCCGAAACCTTAGGAAGGGAGATGAGTGGACGAATGGAAGGAAGGGTCAATGCAGTGGCCCGTGCCCAACCCACCCCACCCCCCGAAAGGCACGGCAACCTGGCAGTGGAGGAGAGGCGTCGCCCTCTGTCTGCTCAGCCTCGGAAGAGGTGGCCGGGCAGGGAACAGGCCGGGCTGGACCACCGCAGCCTCCTTCCCCACACCCTGAGGGAGAGGGCCGGAGGAACCTCTCGAGAGAGAGAGGCACCGTCGTTCGGCTGGCTCCTCACCGCCTCCCCCGCGCCTTCCACTGCACTGGTCGGGAAGACCTCCTCTTGCCTGGTCAGCGCAGGTAGCGCCCCCTTCCTTGCCCACAGGTGAGTCCTTGAAGTACCTGGATCCGGCTGTTGCCCCAATCCGCCACAATAATGTTCCCGTTGGAGTCCACCGCCACTCCCGTAGGGGCATTGAACTGCCCATTCCCCTCTCCATGAGACCCAAACTTGAAGAGGAACTCCCCGTCTGCGCTATACACCTGGAAAAGGAGACACACATGTGGTTGGGTGAGCAACTTCGGGCTCCTCCCCATCTTCTCTCGCCCGCCCCCCCCGGGGGGGGGGTTTCCAGTTTCCTGATCTGTGGCATGGCCCCGGGAAAGCAGACACGGCAGGCCCGTCCATCACCTGCCGCCTCGGGCCCAGGGCTGAGGATCACAGCTGCCAAGCAGCCGGGGTTTTGCACCAGCAGACTTTGCGTGGCAAGGGGTCCCCTCAGCTCTCCCACTAATGGCCAAGTGCTTGACAGACAGTCCCAGCAGTGAAATGGGCCTACTGTGGTTGCAACGTGCTGCACCTAAGCAATAAGATTTCAGCCAGGGAGATTTTGCTCTGCACATTCTGGGAATATTTGCTTTTCTTTGTCAGGGTTCTGCGATGACAGACCGCTCTTCCCACTCAGCCTAAGAAGATGTGGCCCCGCGTCCGTCTGTCTGTTTCCGTCGGCCCCTGGGCCTCTGCCTGGCTTGCTTCGGCCTCCCCACCTCGGCTGGCCTTCTCGCACCCCTTCCCCCGCCCTGCTCCTTTGTTCCACTGTGGCTGCTTTTGACATTAAGACCTCACTTGGACCTTCGTGGTGTGGACACCCTTTCCTCCTCGCACAGCTTTCTCAGAAGTTCAAACTCTTCTTACTGTGGCTTTGGAGTTACATCTTGTCAGATCAAAGACAAGTTCTAAGTTCAAAGCACACAGATCAGTCCTAAGTAGAAGTCCTCCGGCAGCCTCCTTTTGGCCCCAGGGAGCGCCCGGGATGGTACCTTTGAGAGATCCCCAGAGCATGGCCCCTTTCAGCCCAGTCCAGTCTCTCCTGACTGGGACTGGTTTTCCAAGGACGTTGGCCTGGCACAGTCATACCTCCCTCCCTCGTTACCTCCCTCCCTCCCTCCAGCCAGCCAGGACCCTTTATCTGGAAGTGGGCTTGGGGACCCAGCCCAGGCTGTTTTGGCACGCAAAGCAGCACAGGGGTCCTCCGACAGAGCTAGGCGGTCCAGGGCAGGTGTGCCCGTTTCCCCTCGGGAGCGTGGCAGGAAGCAAAGGGAGGTGGCCACTGGACGCGTTCACCCGTTGCCTCCTGACTCCAACATACTCGGGGACGTTGGAGAGCAAGGACCAGGCTGACTAAAGCATCGAGGGAGAGCAACGGGAGCCCCTTCCCCCGGCACAGCGGCCGTGGCTCTTAACGGGAGGGGCTCAGGCCTCACCTTCACAGAATGGTTGTGGAAGTCCGTCACCACAATTTCGTTCTTGTTGTTGACGGCGACAAAATGTGGTCCTAGGGAAAGAAAAGCAGAAGGAGCAACAGAGGGTTGGATCGGACGGGCCTGGCCGAGAGACGGAAGGTGTGGGCGGCAAGCAGGAGAGGGCTAGGGAGAGGCAGACGGACAGCCCCCAGGGACAGAGGTCACCACCAACTGGACCAGCGGGAGGAGATGGAGGGCCTCTCCCCCATCCCCCCACAGGGTGCCCACCTGGAAAGGAGGCCTCCAAAGCCCAGGAAAGCAGCCACCCGAGGCCCTGGACCCAACGGGGTTGTTAGTGGCCAAAAACAAAGAACAGGCAAGTCGCTGGTTCCTACGCCTGTCCCCACCCCACCTTCAGGAGACATTTGGGGCTTTGCCTATGACGACGACTACAGAAGAGAGGGAGGCCCAGCCATGGAAGGAGGCAGAGAGAGAGAGAGAGAGAGACCATGTGCCCGCCTGATCCTGGCAGAAGCACAAGAGGGGACCTGCCAGTTTATTACCATCCAGGGTACCTGCAAACTGGCGCTCGGATGTGCCACGGCTGCCAAACTTGGTCACAAGCTTCCCGTTGGACTGGAAGATGAAGACGCAGCAGGCCTTGTTGTCGACCACAATGATGTGCCCGTTCCGGTCAACAGCCACACCTTTGGGGCCCATGAGGCGGCCTGCCCCAATCTTGGTCTGAGGAGGAAAAGGGGGAGAGAACCTCAGGGACCCAGCCAAGCAGGAAGGAAGGTGAGTTAATGAAGGACCGTCCCTGGGGCAGAAGGCAGGGATTGCCTGCAGAAGGACTCCGAGCAAGGTGCATTCCAGCATCTCTGTCTGGGAAGGAGGAGTATCGTTGGGGCCATAATGAGGGCAGGTGCCTGGGGAGTCACTGGCCATCAGGGCAAAGCAAACTCTTGCCACAGAATGCCCTCCAAAATGGGTTTACTTTTAATCCAGCAGGCATGCCCAGGGTCTGTGGGACCTCATTTTCAGAATGAGTCACCCAGACCACCTGGAGGGCATGGGTGACAGTCTGCCCTTCTGGGCTTGGGGAAGAAGCTGTGGGTTCTGGTCCTGGCACTACTCTATGCTTCCAAGCGGTGCCTCCAGAAAGGCCAGGCTGGGTCAAGCTGCAGGAGGGCTTTCCCAGTCTTCAGCTCGGAGCCATCCCCTCCCAGGGAAAGCAGAACCCGGTGTGTCTGGTCACATCTCACAAAACAGCACCGCTGCCTCTCCTGCCAGCCACCTGAGCACATGAGCTATGCAGCAGCAACCTCTTTCTATTCAGGGCGTTGCCAAAGGGTCACCTAAGGGGGTCTCTGAGATGATCCCACCAAGGAAACGCAAGCCAGGCACCCCGTCCCACGCGATCTGGAGTCTGGCACACCCGGTAAGAGGGTCTTCCTTCACACAGCCTGCACCTTGGCTTGCACGTTGCAGGGCAGAGACAGAGACAGGGAACCAGACGATGGTCAGAAGTGGGAAGCATGGGTCACTCGGTCCAGTTGTCGACCATTGTTATCCTGCCGTACTGATATGTTTTGGGGGCCCATCCATGCAACCCCCTTGCAATGGCCGTGAGAGTTTCCTCCTGCCTCCACGGAGCCCTTACCTTGAACTTCCCTTCGGGGGAGAAGATGCTGACCCAGCGATTGTCATAGTCGGCAATTATAATGTCTCCATTGAGGTCAACGGTGACCCCTGTGGGACGCTGTAGCTGCCCAGGTGAGCGGCCCCGCACGCCAAAGCGCAGGCGGAACTGCCCTTCATTGGAGAAGACCTGAGGTCCACAAGGGGGGGGGGGAGAGAGAGGGAGAGAGTGAGACAGGCGGACGGAGGGGGACAACAGGCAGCCCGAGCCGCTGTGAAGCAGGACAGGATGGCGGGAGGGCACCCCCTACCTGTACACACTGGTTATTGCTGTCTGCCACCACAATACGGCCGCTGCCGGAGGTCGAAATGCCCTGCAGGTTGGTGAACTCGCCCTTCTCCCGACCCCGAGTGCCTGCAGAGAGAGAGGAAGGACTGTTTTTGTTTAAAAGTGGTGCAAGAAGCCCCCCCCCCCCGCGCTCCCTGCCCCGTCCGCCCCAGGGCCTTGCCGTCGCCCCATCCCACCACCCCCATGCTGCCCAATTCTGGATCTCTAATTCAGAGACCTCCTTGGACGGGCTGTCCGGCCTTCCGCTGAGTGCACATTGCAGCTGGAGCCGTGCTGGAAGGCAGCTGGTTGCGCCCAGGGCCCTGGAGGAAACCCACGGCCCCTCTTGGAGACCCTCCGTCTCGTCCAGCCCACTGGCGCACAACCTCCTTCCCTGCCTCCCGAGAAGACTGACCCACTCGGAAGATCAGCTCGTCCTCAATGGGGTTCTCCTTCTTCTTGCCGCTGCTGTACATGCTGGAAGGGCGGCGCACGGCCTTTTGCCTAATGTGGCCGCTGCTGGGGGACTTGACGCGGCGTTTGACGTCATCTGGGGAGGGGGGCACGTCGGACGCCTTGACGACCTTGACCCGAAAGGGGCTGCCTCGGATCGGCTGCCCGTAGAGGTGGATGGAGAGCAGGTGGTCTCCCTCGTGGCGCGGCGTGTACAGCAGTTCGTAGGTGCCGTTCTTGTTGTCCACCACTTCGTGGTCGAGGGCAGAACCATCAGGGGTAGCGACCTCTGCTTGCAGGCAAGCGCTCCCGCTCCGCACCAGCTCCCCGTCTTTATCCTTGGTGGTGATGGTCAGCGAGGCTGCCTGGCCTACCACGCCGTGGCGGAGCCCCTCTCCTGTGGCTACCGTCTTGTGGGCAATGGCACTAGTGGTGAGCAGCACACCCAGGTTGAGGATGGACTTGCGCACACCTTCGGTCTCCACCATGTAGTCCACCTGGGCGTTCTCGTGGGGCCGTTCGGGGAACTCACGGCTGGCCAGTTCGCTCAGCCGCTCACTCATCTGCTTCTTCACCAGCAGCACCTCTGTCTCGGAGCCGTGGTCCAGCGCCTGCTCCGTGAAGCTGCAGCTGCTGAGGATGTTCTCCTGGCCTTGGCGCAGGATGTCCAGCTGAGCCTGGAGCACCTGGAGGAGAAGTATAGAGAGCAACTTCAATGGACCTCAAGCACAGTTGGACCAGCCCCTGCCCCCACCGCTGGCGAGGATCCCTCTTCCAGCTGAGGTGCCAATCCAGACCACTGGCTGTGATGTTCTGGCCCTTCCCTCCCCTTTGCCAACCCAATGGGTTGCCTTGCTCCCCATTCCGTGCCAATGCTGCCGATACGGCTCTCTGAGACCACCCATGTCTGGCTGGTGCCCCACGCCCTCTCCCCAGCTGGCAGTGGGAGCCCTTTCCCTGGGGAAAGAGTCTCTGACTGACCCTGGCACCGCTTCTGAAAGTAGCAGGGGTTTGGGTTCGAGAGAGAGAGAGAGAGAGAGCACAGGATCCAAGCATGGAAAGGGCTGGTGGGAGGGGAAAGGCTTCCCTCTCCCTCCAAAAGTGCACCGGCTTTGCGTGGTGGGACTCTTAATGTGCAAAAGAACAGCCCTGGCTGCCAGCCCTACGCTTTACAGCAAGGCAGTAGTCCCCAACCTTTTCCAAATTGCGGACCAGTTGGGGGGGGGTCCGTGCATGGGGGGGACAACCCCCCACACACACTCGCAGGCTGTGCCTGCTGTCAGAGGCAGCCACCAATGGTGGGAGGGGGGGCAGCGCTAGGCAAGGCCTGCTGTAGATGCAAAGACTGGCCTTGGCCCTTGTGGGGTGGACAGGACCCAAGCGTGGCCCTCACCTCCCTCCTACCCCCATGGCCATCCAGACAGAGTGGGCAACGGGTGAGGTATAGTGGGGTTGGGGGTGGGGGGGATGGTTTAAAGGCAGGGCCAGCCTGACACAGAATTTGCCACCTGTCAGAAAGTTAGAGCATCCACTCTGGAGGGTTTTTTTTTTAGAAGCCTCAACTCTCTTTCTGCCCAGGTTGCAATTGTGCAGAATCCTCAGCAGCCATGACTGGCCAGGTGGGCCACCAGACACTGGGCTTTTTTTTGGGGGGGGGAGGCCAGTCCATCTTCCCCAGCAAAGGTAATGGCAACGAACCCCTCTGGGCAGGCGCCAGATGGCGTCAACCCATCCCTGCCCCTCCAGGCAGTCTTTAAAGGGAAAGCCTGGGATATCTGAAGAGAGATTTCAAACTCGGGGACCCGAGAAGCCCCTTCAGGATGGATTGATGAGACAGAGCACTAACCGGTCACTAAGGCTGGGCCATTTTCCCCCAGGGACGCACCTGCAGAACTACTGATCTCTTCAAACAAAAGAGGGTGCACCAGAAGCTAAAGGTAAGCTGCCGGCATTTGGCTGCCTCAAACAGCACCACTTTTCCAAAGAAGAACCAGAGGACGATCGGCACATGTGGCGGCAGCTGGCCTGGCTTCAGAGCGGGGGGAGGGGGCTGCTCAGGGACAGGAGGCTCCAGATATATAACCCTCGATCACCAAGTGGAGCCTTTGGGCCCGGCAGCCGCCTGTTCTAAACACGAGGCCATGCCACAGACGGGGGCCTCGGTCTGGCCCAGGCTGGCAGGCGTCGGCATCTCGCATTCCATCTCCTCCTCCTCGTGAGCTCTAAAGTGAACTGAGCTTCAGGGAGCCCCTGGACGTTCAGCTGAGGCAGAAACCAGGCAGAAAGCGCAGAGGGGGTAGATCTGCTGGGAGCGGGGTGGGGGGTGGGGGACGGATCCTGGCCCCAGCAAGTTTACCTTTTGCTTGGCTCCACACATGACTTCCAGGTCCCGGACAAGCAGCCCTTTCCGCTGGTGCAGGGCCTTTTCTAGCTCAGCAAAAGTGCTTCCGATTTCAGCCACTGCGTCGTTCTTGCGCTCCACCAGCTGCTGGCTGATCTCAGACACGAGCCCAATGGCTGCAGCCAACTGGGGCAACCTGAAAGGCAGAAGGGAGGCCACCCCCCCCCAGGAGTGGCCGTGTGCCTCTGAGCAGGTCACTTCTGGCTTACGGCAACCCTTTGAATGAGTGACCTCCAGAAGGTCCTGTCCCTAACAGCCCTGCTCAGGTCTGGCCAATCACAAAAGGGGCGCCCTTCAGCCTAGCCCTCTCCTCCACTGGCCTGAGCAGACACAGCCCTTGGCAACACTGCCACGATCCCGCCAAGAATGCCCATCCTTCCGCACCCCCCGCCAGCTCTCCTGCGGGAGTCTCACACAGAGAGAGAGAGAGCGCGCCAACTGGCTCCCCTCCACCACCTCCGCCAGGTGTCCACGGCAGTACCGGCTCTTGATGGCGTCCAGCTGCTGCCGCAGAGAAGCCTTGTGCTGTTCCACAACGTCCCGCAATGGCACCGTCATGTGTTCCCTGTGCTCGGCTGCTGTGCACTCGTGGCACATGGCGGTCTCACAGGATTCACAGTAGTACTCCATCATCTGCAGAGAAACAGTGGCGACGGGGCGGCAGTGACCCCTCGGGCCCCCCCCCTGCACTGCCGCTTGGCCTTGGCCGGGGCCCAAGGGGCGCCAGAGATGGGCACAGCCCCCCTCATTCGGCAGCAGTGCCATGTCAAAGGCCAACGGTTTAGCCCCTGGCAGCACTTAGGTGGCAAGGAAACACCAGCGATGCCCTGCCAGGGGGTTGGGGGCAGGGTGTCAGGCAGGGTGCGGGCCAATCCTGGACAAGCCCTTTGGCCTGATATAGGCCGACTTCCCCCATTGCTCTGAACAAGCCTGGGACGGGCCCTGATCTCCCTGATTGTGGGCGGGGGGGGGAGGGAGCAGCCCCCCAGAAGGCCTGAACCCGAGTGTCCTGTTCCAGAAACCACCAGAGTGCTCAGGCACGCCCCACCCCTCTTCCCCACCCCTCTTTGCCCCCAACCCTGCGCTGCGCCCCCTCTTTGCCCCCAACCCTGCGCAAGTCCCGTCGGGCACTCATCTTCCCCTCATGATTGGGGCAGGAGAGCGGCTGGCCAGGCACAGCACTGACCGAGTCCAGCATGGCGGCCGCCGCATCCTGGTGGCTGGCGCTGTCCGGCTGGCGCTGCAGCACCTCCATGAGGTTGGTGATGAAGAAGTTGTTCTGGAGGGCGGCCACGCCCTTCTCCGGGAGGATGGAGGTCTGGCGGCACACGGGGCACGAGAGGGTCAGGCTTTGGGGCGGGATATAATTCTGGAGACACCTGGGGGAGCAGAGCAGGCAAGACGAGACAGGGGTCAGGA